TGGACCAAAAGGCCCCCCAAGTTTGATCTAGCCAAACTTCTTATCCTCGCTGACCCAATCCGGTGATGATGGGCCTGAGTACCGAGGAGGCGGTAATTCTACTCGCGATATCTGAAGTGCGTCGTCGATCTGCCTCGGCATTCCGTGATGTGCTGGTGCTGGTTGCGCTGGTTGTGCTTGCATTTGAGCCGGCGTCGATTGTATTGAGCGCGAGGGCGGTTGCACCGCCGGTTGAGCTTGGCCGACTGGTGTCGAGTCTGCCTCTACAGCTTGTATTTGATCTCCTGGTAATTCAAAGACGGGAGAATATGTGTTATTTGAGGGATGTGAAGGATGAGGCGCGGGAACCGGAGCGGCTGCCATCTCCGCGGCATGTGCGTTCCAGGTTCCGGTATGTGGTGACGGTTCGGGACCCCTGGATGAGTTCGGACGGTACTGAGAGACAGGCGAAACTCCCCACGTTCCCGTCGTCCCATCCCCGTTGGCGACTGGTGACGGCCAGTTTCCTGCTTGCTGTCCGTAGTGCCCAGGAGAGTTGTTGTTCTGCCAATGCTGGGGACTTTGTGGCCCTTGTTGCTGACGGTTCCATCCTGGAGTGCCCACCGCCATGTTCATCGTGTTTGCCGTATCGGGTCGTCGGTCGTTGACGCCGTGATATGCCGTCGTTGCCTGCCCTTGTGGTGGTGAAGCCGACATCGTAGTGAGACTAGTCGCACTAGATAAGGCTGCGAATTTTCCACCGGCACCGACTTGCCCCTTTCTATCCTTGCGTTGCTTCCGCCGCCTGTAGCAGAAGAATGCCAGCACGCCCAATAAGATTGCTAGTCCTCCTGCAAGTCCTGCCGCAAGAGCCGTGTGGCCGGGTCCCTCATCGCCGGTGGTAGCTTGGTCCCCCTCGGCGTTACTTCCTTGCTTTCCACTCGCCGTCCCAGTCGGCACTGTCTCAACTCCCCTCGTCACCGTAACTGTGACTCCTCCTGGTGCAACGCTCTTGTACGTCGTGAGAGATGTCGTTGTCGATGTTATTGAAGATGCTGGTATTTCGGTCGGCGGTATGGTCGTGGAGGTATATAGTGTTGTGCTGCTTTGGGAAGTAGATGAAGAAGACGCTGTTGACTTGGTTTCGTCGTCGTCTTCTGGATCTAGGAATTGTGCCTGCGAAATGCCCAATGGCGTTTTTGAATCCGTGCAGGAGGTCAGAAGCATCTCGTAAACATCGTCAAGCTTGTCCTTTGCCTCTTTTTCCACGCATTTTGACGTCGCCAGCACAAAGTTTCCGCCATTCCCGCACAGACATGTGTTCATCTCCGTCACCGTGTTACCGGTACACCCGGACGCCGCAGCGGCTGAGTCGAGACATGATCTCGCTGCCGCTGGGTACGCTGAGAAGTCATTGGTAAATGTAGCATGAGTTATCGACGCAAGATATGAAATGAGAATCGTCGAAGAAGTTGGGATGATTCGATTTCGATGTCTCGGAGACATCTTCGCCCCGTGATCGGTCGACGCACGATCGCGTCGAAAATCGTGTTTGTTTTTTTCTTGCTTGTTTTCTCTAGCAGGGCAACGCCTTGGCAGAATCCGTTCGCAACATTGGTTTCCTTTTCGATATGTCCAACACGTTCAATGCGTTCACCGGGGCGGGATATCGGGGTTCAAAAGCGGTCGATTTTGGGATGAGGAAGATTTTTAGGTAACTGTGGAGGAGGGGATGGGGGACAACACTACTTGAAAGGGGACAAGTTCGAACTACAGCGCGCTGCTGGAGATGGCACGGTTCACTTGGACCTTGGTATTGATAAAGATCCTTGAACTCCAGTTCTCCTCCTCGGGGCCCAAAGGAGACAGGACCCGGAGGCTCGGCCACTGCGGGATTAGGGGCACTTTTGACCCAGTGGCCAGAGGGACCAACCTGGCTCGTCCGCAGCACCGTTGACGTCTGTCGTGATCACTCGTTCGCGGTCTTTTGGCCAGGGGAACTCGATATTGTGTGGGGGCAGCATGAGACCCGAGTCCCGGTTGAAACCTTCACCCTGGTTAGGATACGAGTCAGGCACCAAGGGGAGATTGGTTGCTGGCCAGGGGCAGAGCTGTGAGTGGTTCCACTTGCCGGTTATTAGAGTTTGATTTTACTTTATGCGTTGGTTGCTGATCGTCTTGCTTAGATTGTAGTGTGCCTGTCGTGCGCTGTTGTGCCTACTTCACAATGCGATTGTGAACGGCTTGCAGTTATCAAAGTTGTTGGCTTTGCCCTGCCTTATATGATGTATCAGACCTGGAGTGATTAGACTTGCCGAAGCCGCGAGAAGCCCCTTGGCGTCATCCCGGGACCTCGAGCCCGCCCTGGAGAACTGGCAGGAGAATGTCCAGGGCGAACGGCGAGCCCTGAACAACTGAGCCTCTAAGCCAAGAGCTCTCCCACAAGCCGAGAGTGCCGACCGGGGTCCCACGGCGTTGCCGGCGCCCACGGGTCGCCGACGGAGCGGTGGTGCCGACGAGATACGAGCATCCCCTGACTGTGAGCCGCTATTCCCCAGATCTTAAACATGATGGCATCCGCTCGTTCTCGCGCTCGATTGCCTATTGACAATTGACGTAAACTCAATGGCTCAGTATCGCCATCATTTAGGTACTAATACCATCCAAGTTGTCGAACGCGTATGACCGACCCTGAACCGCGTCGAGCTGCTCACGCGTCGGATCGTCGCTACCACGGCGATACCACCTAGTCCACGCAAGCGGTAACTCCCACCGGTTAGCCGGTGACGATGCGGTGAACGCAAGCTTTTCGCCCAGAGAACAACCAACGAACCGTGCTTCGGCCCACCCCATTGCCAACGGTCATGTGGGGTATTCCCTGGAATCTTCAAAAGTCATGCCCTAAGCGGCATTTCGGCTGTATTTTGGAGCCATTGTCCACCACTTTCAAAAATGAAGTTGACCAGCCTGGGGGTCGAACCCAGAATCTCCTGATAACGCATTGAATCGTAGTCAGACGCCTTGCCATTGGGCCAACCGGCCATTATCCAGAAGGATTTGTGGTTGAGTTGTGATCTCCTGCTTGGAGTGAGACTGAAGTTGCGCTCTCGTCGAGGCACAGATTTGCGTTTCCGTTTGGCTGTCATCTGAGGAATTTCAAGAGTTGATCTGTGAGTTAAACACAACACAGACCACTAAAAGTCTATCTCTTCATCCGGTTTTTGTCTCCGATCTCAACCAGGATGGTCCATATTGAGTATCAGACGGAAAATTTGCTTTCACGACTTCGCCTTCGCTTACTCACCCATAGTTTCATATTGAAGTTAATAGTCCATAATGACTGAGATGTTGAATATCGAAAGTCCATGAGGCCATGGCAGTGCCCTCGCGTCTCGCTATCCATATTCCACCGACTCAAAAAATACTCTAGCGGGCTAAACGCTATGCCCGAATAGAACCGTGTTCGCATAGCAGGCCTGCAATGAATGATTCCCTTTCCCAACTGCATCAACTCAAATACTTCTCTGCGCCATGATAGGTGGACTAGCCGTTGTCGATTGATCGTTACTTGGGATGAGTTATGTTGTCAGGAAAAAGTCCGTATCAAGATCAATCCTCCGCTGCCTATGTCGGAGAACATTGAAATGCGGTACTGCGGTCATGACAAGAGTGGGGAGTCCGTTTTTCGGTCAGATAGTCATGCACGAGGCTCAACAAGCCAACATCAATCCTGTCAATGTTTCTATGAGAACCTCTTTCTCTGCATGTGTGCTGCGATGGAATAAGGAAGGGCTTTACTAACCTTTGGGTCCCATGATTGAGAGGGAAACGGGAAAGCACTCTTCTCGCCCGGAAATTTGAGACTGATATTAGTATTGGCTGACTGTATGATTCTATTAGAATGCTTCCAATCATCGTTGGTCGTTGTACAGTCGACTCTTACCGGGCACAATCAAATTTGGCACACCTGATAACGAAGCGTATAGATTGGAGTCGAAGCCCTCAGAGCCTCGAGTCTCGGGCACGCTGAAATTCTAGTTAGCCAAAGCTACTACACTGGAAGTCAGTTGCATCTCACACGGCAAGTATTCGTCCCGATGGTCCAATTTGTATCGAGGGAAAACCATTTTGGTCTCCTGATCATTGAGCAGATGTTTGAGAAACCCGGTGTTGTGTTGCGATACTTCATTCACGGCCTCTTGTCAACGGTCTTGGCCTAGCCACTTGCCCTTGTTCTTGAGACAGAACTGTCAGCACGTATGGCACAATATTGTGAAACTTGATGTGACCATAGTTACTGTATGACTTTGCATACGTAAGGGTCCGCCTTGAATCTATCCCGGTATTCCTATCTGAAATCTGCAAAGTAGGTCCAGAACTCGCAGTATATCAAGGGTATGAAAGTCTGGATAGTCCACTCAGCCGACGCACTACTTCTATAGCATCAATAGTGCGCTAGGAGTTCATCAACTCACCTCATTGAATGTGTCAAAAACCCCTTTTCAGCGCTAGGGGGCTTCGTGGCTTTCCATGTCTCCTCTATGGAGGTGTCGACTTTGTCTGCTCCAAGCCATTGAGTGAGGGACACCACCTAGCCCTCAGCAATCTGCTGGACACCAGAATGGCCGGACTAGTACTCTCGTGAAACTAACACACATTTCGGCCTCAGAGTCTGCAGCGTCTTCAGTTCAGGCAATATCCATGGCGTTCGTGATGCTAATCTCGGTTTTGGAGGAGTTTTGGAGCCCATGACGACCGAACTCATGCCTTTTGTGGATATCTCTCCCTAGGAAGCTGGGAGTGTGAAGGATCCTAGCCGTCTTATCAATCTTTTGTCTTTTGGACATGGATACAAAGACTTACCCGCAAGGAAGAACCGCGTCTGAAATTGGCTCACCGTCATGAAAGGGCGGAAATTGGACACACCATGAGCGATTGCAGGGTCTCGAATGCTTTCACCAGCTGGTTCATTAACTTGCTTAGCCTCCAGTAGCCCGAATACTCAACAATGCAGAATGTTCTAGCTTACCATCCATACCCAAAGTGATATCAAGCCACCGGCATGCTGCTAGGCTTGAAGCTGATCCTATGCTGCTCCCAATTCCAGCGAGACATCCATCACCACGGACGTTCGTGGGATCAAAGTAGTCGTACCAGTCGCTAATAACCTGTTGGCTCCCTCCAAACTCAACAGTCTTGGCCTTGCCAACAATAACGCCTTCAAGGTCTATGACACGCTGTACGGCATCGGAAGAGGCATTTACAGGTCCATGCAGCCTACGGTAACCCCGGTTTCTGCATCCCGTATGAACTCCTTTGAGGTGAAACAAGTCTTTGACTGCAACTCTTAGTCCAGCAAGCGGTGTATGTCCAGCTTTGGAAGACTTGATCCTCGAAGGAATTGCAAGACGGAACGATGATGCCCCGAATGTAGCGGCGTTCAACGTTTGATACCTTTGGTCATGTTAATGCCACGGTGACAAAAGAGATGGGAGAATGGGGGACTACGTAAAACGATAGCTGGCCAGCCTACTTACGCTTGAGGATCTTCTTGACTTGATGTTGTGCTCAAAACAAAAGATTCGCTATTGTCAGAGAAGCGGCGGCAAGGGCTGAAGATTCCACGATTGGAGAGAAAATAGGGACCTGGAGGAATACGTTCGCTGCCAATTACGTAGAAGAAGTGTTGGCAAGCCCACGATGCGAGGAGCTGCAAGACATATTCTTCAATCTCTAACTGATTTGAGAAATAACAAACGTGCTTTAGACAGATTTCACAGGATACTTCGTCGTTCTGCACCCACGAGACATTGAATTTTCCAAGGTCATCTCTCAAATTGGATGTACCACTGATAATAAAACATGATAAGGTGTTGATATTAGGTGAGTCGGTGAGCTGGATTCCACACACAGCCTTTCCAGCTTGCCACAACATGGACGTTACTTTAGGCTAACGAAGTATATATTCAGTCAGATTATGTTCATTATCATATTCCGTGAGTCTGTCAACAATCTTCACTTTTCCAGACTCAATGCCATGACTCGAGCCTTGAGGCACGGAGTGCTTGGTAAGAATCGAATATTTCGAGGATTAGTCCCTCTTTTTCATTATTTGACATGAGCTCCGGGAAAGACGAAAAAGTCAAAGATTTCTAATCCTTGAATACACATCGAGAATAGTCACTCTCGTCACGGGTACCTAGGTTCTCCTTTGGCAGATATCCCATAATAGCAGCCTCAGAGGCGCCATCAAACGCACAGAAACGGTGAGTTATCCTCCATTCACCATCTCTCTTTTCCAGGTTGTCAACATAACGCACCAAGAACGTAGTCCACTTCTCCCCCTGTTCAACCTCGACGATCGTCGTAGCGGTGCAGTACGTCTCGGCATGCGCCTTGCGACCATCCTCCTCAATTTCAATCAGAGACTGGCCGATCTGGTGATGAGCGGCCTTGATTGAATTAGAGCCCATTGAGTCGAAGAAGTCTTTGGCTGGGCCGTTGTAGGTTCCGTGGTTATCTGTAGCATCTTCGTGGTAGACGGACTGGACAACGTCGCGGATCAGGCGATCTGCACCACGGGCGAATCGATAGATGACGGTTCGGATCTCATCCTTGTCTAAAATGGCCTGGACTGCGCGGGGCAGGGCGGGATTTTCGACAGGTGGTACCATTTTTGTAGCTTCAACTTGGTTGAGTTATCAAGAGATGATACTACCTGAAGTAGGCAGATGGATGAGAGGAGATTGAGGAGATGAAAAGTCGCTTGCGCTGTTGACGGTATAATCAGGCTTCATTCAATGCCTTCGGATGATACAGTCAATAAGAGGCTACATGTGCTTTATATCTACAGTAATTGGTCAATGGAGCTTCAGGGATGGCTTCTCAAGTGAGGAGTAATTGTCTCATCCGCACGGGTTCGTTCATTATAGTCCGCCACGGCGGCGGACTTTGGGTACGAATACGAAGCACGGCAGTCCATCACATTGGCGTAGCTTTACAATCAAAGCGAACCCGAGATGTTGCATCCGTCAACTTGCGGAGTTTCAAGACGGCTATATGGTTCGTTGAACTCAATATCCGCGGCAACTTGAACCACAAAAACAATTAACGGTCAAAGTCTTACCGTCGTCGTAGAGCTGAATGAGTGAGTACGTTCGCCCCAAGTCCACAAGTAAGTACTTGGTAGTGGAAATCTTGAGAATTTCTATCATGCGAGCAAGACGCAAATCCATCAATCAACTCTAATTTGCTAATCACAATTCTGAACTTTGACAGAGTTGCTGGTCGGGAGAGACAGGAGTTGATGGCGGCATATCAGCCACTGTGGCTGTCAGCCACAATGTTGACCAGAAAGACAAATCGTCAATCCGGCGAAAGCGGCGCCCGTGTGCCTAGGATCAATACCCGCCATCTCTTCGCGGACATCTCATCGGCTACCTTACACCTATTGAATCGCGCCTCCAATCACATATGTACCCATGATTGAAAGGGCCGTGTCGTGGAAAGTATACATGTACTCGGTGCGAAAGCACTCCGGACAATGACAATGCCTCCCGGACGGCCCCGTCTCGACCTGGAGCCCTTCAAGGATGAAATCATTGCGGCGTTCAACCGGCGCGAAACGGTCGAGAGCATGTTAAAAGGCCTCGCCGCAAAGGGATACGAAGTCAACGGCAAGACGTTCCAGCGGCGGCTCCGAGAATGGGGCCTATACCGATATTCCAAGACGCCCAACAAGAAGAATGGACGAAATAACACAGCCGAAGCAGCAGCAGCCGTAGGCCAGTCGAGCTTCAGCGCGCGAGCAAGCGCACCGGCAGCGGCAGAGAGCACGACGCAGGACAGCAGCGCAGCGCAAACCCCGGCACCGAGCGCGACGGCATCCATCATAAAACCCCTCTTGCAGCCTATCATGCAACATGGAGAGAGGCCCGGCTCCGTAAGTTCTTGGACTCTCCATTCCCAATAGGGTAACTGTAACAGTTGAGAAGCACCAAGTGGGCTGCATGACGGTTGGGACCCAGCGGGTGTGGGATGGGATTGGGGGGGGATGCATTCTCGTTAGGGAATTATTAAGAGCACATAGCGCCGCTTTCGCTCGCCCGGAACGCGGAAGGCGAAGAATAACTATCTAATAACTTGACTACTTCTTCAGTTGCAGGACGGAGACGACGAAGACTCGTCGGAAAGCATTCTTTCAGCAGCTTCATCGCCAAAAGCACCGCGAAACAACTCTTCTCTCTTCAACACATATCTCGAAAGATTAAGACCGCTCCCGCAAGCAAAAGCGCCCCAACCAAACATGTCCCAAAAAGTCTGGACCCGCCAACACCCCGCAGGCTTCGGCTTGGAGAAGTCACTCGCCGCTGTCCGCGACCCTGCCGCCGCTCCAACTCCGATCCCTTCGCCGCCTCGCGACGTGAGTTTTACCCCAGAGCCCGGTTGTGAGCATGAGCCAGCACAACGACAATGAAGCTGTAGCAGAACTCTAATAAGCTTGCAGGTCGAAGTGATTCAACAAGAGTGTGATTCCATCACCTTTGAGTCCTTTACATATGAGGATGCATTTGAACTAGGGCACCTCCTTCACGCCCGGCTTCTCCCTTTCGCCCTCGTCAACAAGAAGCCCACAGTCATCTCAATCGCACTGGCAAATAGCCAACAGGTACTATTCCAGACGGCTGTCGGATCCGGGTCTCTTCCAGACAACGAGACGTGGGTGCAGCGCAAGCGCAACGCCGTGCTCCGATGGGGCTGCAGCACCTGGCTCCTTCACAACAAGCTGGGCGGCGATGAGCAGCTCTTTGCCTCCAAGTTTGGCATGAGCACGGAGCAGGCTGGAAATTACGCCATTCACGGTGGCGGCGTGCCCATCCGTGTGCAAGGAGTTGAGGGCGTTGTAGCTGTTGTCGTTGTCAGTGGTTTGAAGCAGGATGAGGATCATGGTGTGATTGTTGATGTTATTAAGACTCATTACCAATGATTGCAAAGAAAGACCAGCGGTGATGGGAAGGATTGAAGCATGATTGGGACGAGTTTCAATAGTATTCCAGAGGCCACGAGACTCGTCTATCGTGACGGGTCGAGATGCATGAGCTACGTACAGCGTGGACTCGCAAAATCACTAATCGATAGCTTCTCTGCATTGTAACATCCATTGTGGGCTTCGCCGGAGTCACTACGTTCATCTTCAGTCTTTCCTCAACTTCCACTTTATTTCGAAGTTATTCATAGGCGGATATAATAGAAATAGGGTCGGATAGATATACGTTTCGTTATTGCCCCTCAGGAACGTACGTTTATAAGCAAATATGTAACGACACCATCTAGCAGTTGATGTGATAGAAGAGCTCCATTGAATTATCCACCAATGGAGTCAAACAGAACTAGAAATCGAGCTCTAGTGGAACTCAAAATCCACAGACTTCCAACCAATATCTTCGTTCATCATCCGTTTCCCTTCTTCCTCCTCCGGACCCCAGGTACAAAGTCCAACCCGCATGTAAGGAACGTCTGCCCATTCGCTACTGTCACTGAGTGAATTGGCTGTCTGATTTGCGGGACGAAGCAGCACAGCTATGCTCTCAGGGATGTTGAAAAGTTCTCCTCGAGTTGAGTCAATATCTCCCACGTGAAATACCCATAGGTCGCGGAGAACCGATGGCAAATTAGCTTTCTGAGGAAATAGCCAACGGAACCCCGGTAAATCTAGCTGCCACAGGTGGCCGTTGAGGTTCAGATGCTCTTGTGTGAATCCGGCATCTGTCATGATTCTGATACGGTCGCTGTGGTGGTCCACGTCTTTAAATTTCGCGTTTTCAGACGTATCTGTTTCCTTGAGGAACTGGACTAGTTTATCTTGAACTTCGAGAGCATCAGTTAAGCGGCAGACCATACCGCGTGCCCTCATGATATCTTGTCCTTGGAGATAAAACCGAGCTTTCACCACGTAGCCTTTTGGCGATCTGAAATTGGCTGGTACAAATGAATTCTCTGTGATGCGCCAACTTGATAAGTCGCCAGGCTTTTCCGTACGCACAAACAGCTGGCTGAGAACCGGATTCTTGTTGACTATTGCCACGGCAAATTTTTGGACGAGATCTGCCAGGGAAGGGTTATCATGCGGCCGAATAACTTTACCCACACGCAGGTTGTAGGCTTGCATGATGCCGTAGATGCGGTCTACCGGTCTCGAGGTCTGCCTAGACCACGCCATGCTGTAGGGGATGTTTGGGTTCGATGTTGGCAAGTTATACATGCCGGAACGGATAAGGAGTGATTGCATGTTTCCGATCTTAGTCTTCAGGTCTACTTCCCAGTCCAGTAGGGTGTAACCCATTTGTTTGTGGTATTCGAGGCCTCGTAGAATGTTCACCAAATCCAGGTAGATGTTGTTGCAAAAATTGACGAACATTGCGAGATAGGCTTGATACTTTCTGCCGTCATCAGACGTGATCCAAACACAGGGAAGCCCTTCTGCGCTCAAAATCACAGCATCATTGCGCAACACTGCCTCCTGCAAAGTCCACAAAGATGAAAACCAGGGATCTTGGAGTACGGTTTGCATTCCAGAACTGATGCGGTCAACAGTTTCGCGTACGGCCGTCATCCTGTACTCCTGGTGGTGAACATCTTCCCAAGTCATGTATGAGGGCATGAGCTGGTTCTCTAATGTGCTGAAGGTGCTGAAAGTGATGGATTCCAACTGGCCGTCGTTCATGTCGCAGAACGCCTTCGTGAGACTTTCCTGGGTTGATTCACACAGCCAAACATGCGCCCTGACTGCTTTATCGAAAATGGCGACCTGGTGACCGACTTCTTCCGCATTCATGATCTCGTCTTCTTGATCTATGCAGGCGATATCGACCCATGCCCATTCAACGTCCTCAAACGCCATGGAATTCACGACAGACCGGAACGAGTCCACCGTGAAGTGAGACTCTTTTATTGAGGGGATCTTCCACGGGACGCCCTTCACCGGCAATACAGGGACGGCGTGGTCGTCATGTCTGATTTTCCAGCGACCCCAAGTGTAAGTGAGGATGCTGTACTTTGGCTTCTCCGTTGTTCCATAGACGCTGTGCTCGTCTCTCTGGACTGATGTTAGTGTTGGTATGTGTAGTAGCCGTCGGGGCCAGTAGTCATCGGCGTGTTCTGAGGCAGTTAACCGCGGCCAGAAGTCGTCGATGTCCTCCAAGGCAGTTAAGCTTTCCTGAACGTCGTGCATGTCAATGACCATTCCTACTTATGATGGACGAACCCGTCGTCGACTTGCACTCACCATACTGATAGAGTATTATTGACTCAGTGTGCTGTACTTGATGTCAACAAACCCCAATAGGTGTTGTGTAGCGAACTTGTGAGGCTCTCGGCGAGGCAGAAATCTTTAGAGAAACGCTCCATTGAGCGAAGAGGAAGATCAAAGTCCTAAGTGAGGCATAATTGAATGCGAAGAACGTCAGACGTAAGCACCAGTGTCCTACAGGACTTATTACACTTGATGTGCGTCAAGCCCCACGGCTCGCTCCTGGAACGAATGAGCAGACAAATCTGACATGCAGACTAGGGTCTGGTGCAGGGCCTGATATCACATCAGCTTCCCCAAATGCCAGTAAGGCAAACCAACCCCATTGAGCTTCAACTTTTTCTTTGAATGAGAGAATGATTCAGGTCGAGCACACCGAAAATCTTTCAGATTAAAAGGCGGGCTGAAGTCCACTCGATAGAGACTTCGGCTCTTCCATTCCCGCACCCCTCGCATACCTAAGATACCCTCATTGTGACCGCATAGTGATAACAACAACGAAGAAATGTCAGCAACATCGTCAGCCCTCGGCGCAGTCCTGGGTTACCTAGGCGCCGAAGTCGCGGGCATAAGCCTCTTCGAACGCCTCTTATGGCCGGAACGCTTTTATAACGCCGTGGATGCCATCGCGCTCATCCGCCTGGCCCTCTTCATGCCAATGGGCGGGCCCCTCCATCGCGCAGCTCTTGAGACGCTGGATAAGTTCCGCGACCACGGCCTGTACAAGGGTCGCCGGCGGGGCGACATGCTCGGTACCACCTTCTTCTCCGATAAAGCCAGCGTTCACTACCTCCATAAGACGGCGACTACCCCCGAAGGCCGCAAGCTACCACGGGCAGTACGGAATGGCTTCTGGATTGAGGTTCTAAAGCATGTTGACGATCGCATCGGTCTAGGCGGGTCTTGGACTGGGGCCGGTCCGGCGCCGATCCCGGGTACTGCGCGACTGAAGGTGGGAAGTGAGGGACCAGCAGATACGGTCAGGACTACGCGGCGGATATACCGACTTGATCTGGAGTTCCAGTCACCTCAAGGGACTGAACTACCTACACAACTCAAAACATTTAACGAGAACTTCGGGTTTGGGACTTTGTTAGGCATTGTTGTATCAGAGCTATCCTCGATTCTGCTTGCAGTCGCTGCAGGAATCTGGTCAAACCAAAGCAAAGACGGACAGGACGCCCCAGCAAAGTGGTTCATCGGCTTCCTGTGCATCCCTCTCTTCCTGAAGCTTTTCGCCGCAGTGGCACGCGTTCGTCGAGAGAGCCTGATACACAACGAAGCCTCTCCCGAGTCGTCGACCTTGAACGCAACAGCTCCATCTTCACCAGCAGCCGAAGCTCCAATCACCAAGAACGATCTTGGCCCCGTCTCCCCAGCCCATCACCAGCAGACAGAAATTTTCGAAGTCGAGGTGCCCTCCATCGGCTTCCTCCTCATCTCTACCCCCTCCCCAGCCTCCCCAGCAAGCTTTCAGTTCTTCCGCCACTACGGCCACCCAATCCGCGACAGCGCCCTCGACCGCGCAAGGGAGGTGGCCAGCATAGCGACGGTGTACGCATTTGTCCTCTATTTTCCCGCGGGACTGCTGTTGCTTTCGTGGATGAATGAACCTATGCAGTACCTCTGGCTGGGTCAGCAGCTGTGGAGCGTCTTGGTCATGCATCTTGTGCGTCTTTTCGGGTGGGAGGGCACTGCGCGGACGGAGGAGGCGGTGGCGGCTGCGCTTGTGAAGGACTTCAGGGTTATGCTGGCTGGTGAGAAGGCGTGTGTGGAGGCTACGCTGCGGATGGAGGAGGTTACGTCGGTTAAGGAGGGGAGGAAAAGGGTGCAAGAGATATTGGAAGGGGTTTAAGGTTATGGTTTCGATTTCAATGACCGGAGAGACACTTGGGTAAAGATTAACACACACATGTATACTTTCCCATTTTCAGCAGTCGTTCATACTAGAGGAGGAACATTGTAACTCTCCTAAATATACGAGCTCCGGCCATATATCCTACCATCTTAGCCAGCCGATGACCTGTGCAAGACGCAAAGACTGTGCAGACTCTACAACACCTTCCAATCGACTTTTGAAGTCGGAGGGAGAGACTCGCTCTTCAAAAAGAATTGACCAATCTTGTTGAGATAATGTTTCCCAAACATAGACAAGGGCAACTTCTCCAATAGAACGCCATGCACAACGCCCAAGTCCTCATAGAGTGCAACTGCATAAATCCGCCGAGACCCATTACTCAAGTCCTTAAGCGTCGCCAGCATGTCCTGAACATTCGCCGTGTATCTCTTCGATTCCATATCCACTTTCTCGTCGTCCTGAGGGAGAAAGCAGTCAATGCTCCCGGAGAACTTGTGCGACCCAGGTTTGTCATCAGAGGTCAAGGCGATGCCCACCGCGCGCATGGAAACGCTTGCGTCCTCGTTGATAAGCCAATCTGCCACGGTCTCGTGGTCTCGACGATCAAGGTAGGTATGATCAGAGGATCCCGAGATACCGGCATACCAGCCCGTGGTCTTGGACACGGGTAGCATGGTCCCACCAGACTCGTTCCGCTTCAGCACCCGTCGCATCTCGTTGGCTGTGCCCATGGAACGAACGAGATTCCTCGCCATGCTCTGGTAAAAGACTGCTCCAAACTTCCGCGAACATTCACGGAGGAAAGCGAGGGGGTATGTTCCGTAGACCATGGGCTCCGCTAGCGCAGGCTTGCCGGTGGACTTTGAAGTCTCCAACTTCTCGACGTACCAGTCCGTCACACTCACAGCAGACATGATGGCGGGAGCGCGGCTGGATGAGCAGTGCCGAAGGTTCGCGTTCGTGAGAATTGTCGTGGGTGAGCCGGCGGTGAGAGCGTTGTCAAGGCGGGTCATCATGCAGAGTTGGTAGAGGTCCCTAACTGCACTTGGGAACGTCCGGTCGCTGTGGCTGTAATGAATATTCTTCCTGTCTTGATCGTTCATGGAATTCCTATCGTACTGTAAGGGCTCACTGAAAGGGGTTGGAATGGGCTCTGGCAGCAAATTGAAATCTCGAGTGTCTCTGAGAACTACCATGAGGGTTCTTAACGAGATTGCCGTCCCGCTCCGATCTTCCAGCCTAGTCCAGGTGCGGGTGTATAGCTGGATCTCAGGGCAGAGAATGCACTCTTGTAAAGTCCATAACGAGGACATCCAAAACGTTGGCTCGCCTGCCGTGAGATCATCAACAAGATCGGGTAAGTCTTCCATTCCCTCACGACGCTTTTTCTTTAGCAACTCCATCGCCACCGTGGCCGCCTGCGTTGCTTCAGCCATTCTGTCCTTGATTGCTTCGGTGTCACGGTTCGACAGGATTGACTGGGACTTTAGACTCATCCAGTCTAATGCGGCTAGCACGCCATCCCAGGACTCGACGTCGTTGATCCAGGCGATGCAGTGGCTTGATCCCTTGAAGATGGACGCCTGGTTTGCAATCTCCTGAGCGGCCCTAGGATCGCTCTTATCCTGCGGAATGCAGAACAGATCAAACCAGATGTGGCGGTGGCCAAGTTCCTTGAGCTGCGCCGGAAGATCGCGTACATCGTAAATAGTGTTCTCTGGGACCAGCCACGGTACTCCAGGAACAGTTGTGTCGGTTCGCGTTCGCCAGCGACCCCATGTGTGGCTGATACATACGTATGGAGGGCATTCGGTCAGCTCCTCCACGGTGACTGTCCGTTGACTTTCGTTGTCCCAAAGATAGTACGGGTCGATGCTCGCTTGAGCAGCAGTGATTCTCTGGTGTTCCGCATCATTCTGAACAACAATAGGATACGGAACTTGCTCGTCAGCAGGAGGATGGCTCGGATGGAGCACTGGGTAGGAAAGTTTCTGGATAGTCGCAATACAAGAAGATCGATAACGGGCATGCTGAAGTCTAGACAGCTTCATATGGCAGAGGAAAGGCTCCCAAAACATCGGATGGAATTCGAAGAGGAAAAGCCTGAATAGGTGCGAATGGTAGAGGGAGGTGTCCGTCTTGACTTCGCTGGCGATACGACGAAGATCGTATGCAGCGGAGGGATCTGATATCGTCCAAAAGGGGCGGTTCTTTTCCAGACGCGCGGTGGTGGCGCTCAATAGCTCTTTGTCGCAGTAGGCCGCCCTCCACCAGTATTGGAGAAGATCAAACGATCTTCTTTGAGCAGGCGAGAGTGAGTCGCAGAACTCGGGCTTATCTCGAATCAAGCGTTGGAATTCCACCCAGTCATCGAGGAGAGAGGCCCAGCCGTGCAGCCTCTTGTGAGCACCGAAGTCTGGTCCTCCCTTGTATCTGGCCAGATGAACCCACAGCGGGCATACCGGCCACAGCCTGGGCTCGAGGGGTTTGAAGTGCAAGTTCTTCATGGCCGATAACGCCTTTCGACTTCGGTCAACTGCGTCCTGCCATTCCAGGCGCGGGGCTCCCTCGGCCAAACGTCTCTTTTCCAGGCCATCGTATGCGCCCCATCGAGGGGGGACTAGAGCCTCCCATTCAGGGGAGAAGACGAAGGCAGTGCAAATGTCGTTGTCGGTCTGTTCGCTGGACCATTCCTCGTGCCACTCGGTGAGTTTGGCGGTGATGTCGGTGGTTGATGACCCCATTTCTGTCGCTACGTCTTGGTCAGAGAGTGCCTGCAAAAAGCCTTAGCTTGGTCCCCCTTACCTATCGTCAGTTGAAACTGATTGTGCCGTTGTCGACCGGATTGAGTTCAATCGCCGTTGTTCAATGAGGGATTTTCAGTTCTCTTGTGCTCAAGACATTGGTTATGAGGCACCAAGAAGTCGCATCATCTTGACAAACTTTGTCCATACATCGCTTTAGTATTGCCTGACGCGAAAGTCTTTAACTATATTATTTCAGGGATTTGGTCCTTCTTCAACCCATTCTGGAAATATTGTGGACTGACGTATGCAAGTAATACGCGACTCACGAATCACCTTCTGACGATATCTTGCTGCCTGGCGCTGATGATAGCGATACTGGACGTCTCTATAATGAGGGCACAGATGATGTCCAATATTTCCGATCCCAGGTCGAGCTTACGGATTCTCTCACCTATAGTAACACTAAGACTGAAGACTCAAAGCGAGAAATTGGTTGCGTTGCATGCCTCTCTGCTACGGGCGCAGAACAGCTTCGCATCCACTTCAGAGGACCAAAATCCGAGCCGGAAGAGCTTTTCCCCTCTTTGACTGTCCAAGATGTGTCAAATCATCGACCCCGGTCAAGCATCCCTGTAGCTGCTTCACGCGGAGAACTGGGGTACTCGAGCGCAAGCCGCCGTCCTTAAATCTGGTTCTCCCCGCTTTCTGCTCATCTCTAGATTCTAAAGTGGCAGATTCCGACAAACGGCAGGCTGACCGAAAGACTAGTTTGAATGTCGCCCCTGTTAGGAACAGTAGTCGGCTAATCGACGGACTTCTAAAGGGCGGCCTGAGTGGATGGTTCATCAAGTCGAGCAATCTACCAATGCAGGTTCACCTGCACAGAGATGGAAAGGGAGGTAGAGTCGCATCCAAGCGAGCGGCCAGATCTTCCGCCCATGCACGGTTCCTGGCCCGTCCTACCGTGAAGCCACGAGGAAAGGGAGCTGGAGGATAATGAATGTTTGACTATGCAAGCACACTTAGTATGACACTAGGCCCGTTTTCAACTTACCTGGTGGCGGATAACCTTTGATTTAAAGCTGCGAACCCTTGTCGGTAATCAATGGCATAGCGCCCAGACGGCCACACAAAGGCTTCGGAGCGTGACCTTCCTTCGCCTCAAGAGGAATAAGACGGGACAGGGAGAAGATATTGAGCTCAACCAGGGAAATTGAGCTCTCTGGGGAAAGCACTCCGTGCCAATGCACCCCTGAGCGAGTTCATAATGGGCAAACGGGAAGAGACCCGACAGCCATGGTCGAGTTGGATGGAGATGTCTGAGCATATATGAAGACCTCGTTCTCTCGAGTCTTTGGTCGAGGCGTGGGCTGTTGTGTCTCCCGGTGCGATTGTCACATTCTCTCACTTCAGAATTCTCACCACGGCTTACCAGTCACGATGGCCTCTTCCTTCTCCCGCTTGGGTCTCGCCGCCCTCTTCGTGGGCCTGGCGGCGGCCCAGCGTCAGATCGGACCCGAAGAGAACCATCCTCCTCTCACGACGTGGCGCTGCACCAAGGCCGGCGGCTGCACCGAAGTCAACAACTTCATCGTCCTCGACTCCCTCGCACACAACGTTTACCAGGCCAACGGCGGTGGAAGCTGTGGCTCCTGGGGCAGCCCACCCAACGCGACGGCGTGCCCGACCAAAGAGGCTTGTGCCGAGAACTGTGTCCAGGAGGGTCTCGACGACTACAGCCGCGTCGGCGTCACGACGAACGGCGGCGCCATGACTATGTACCAGCTTAAGGATGGCATGCAGGTTTCTCCGCGTGTCTATCTCCTTGACCCATCCAAGGAGCAGTATGAGATGATGCACCTAACGGGCAAGGAGTTTACGTTTGACGTCGATGTATCGAAGTTACCGTGTGGCATGAATAGTGCCTTGTATACCTCTGAGATGGAAGCCGACGGTGGGAAGAGCGCGCTCAACACTGGCGGCGCTCGTCACGGCACGGGGTACTGCGATGCTCAGTGTTATACTACGCCCTTTATCAACGGTGAAGCCAACATTGAAGGATACGGTGCATGCTGCAACGAGATGGTGAGTCGTCTGTCCTTGTGTCTTGCATGGGGCCCAGAAACAACTAACATGCCGTCACAGGACATCTGGGAGGCCAACTCGCGTTCTGCTCATATGGCACCGCACCCGTGCAACCAGACTGGTGTCTACCTCTGTGAGGGCGAAGACTGTGCCTTTGAAGGCGTCTGCGACAAGAACGGTTGCGCCTGGAACCCGTACCGGTAAGTGACCAGCGTTGTAATCCCAAAGTGCAGAACAGAACCTTACCCTAGAAACAGAGTCAATCAAGACGACTACTACGGCCGTGGCTCAGGATTCGATGTCGATACCACACGCCCATTCACAGTCATCACACAGTTCCCCGCCAATGAAGCCGGCGTCCTCACCGAGATCCACCGCCTCTACATCCAAGACGGCCACCTGATTCGCAGCGAAGTCGTCAACAACACGGATCTGCCGCAGGTGAACTACCTCAACGACGAGTTCTGCTCGGCGACAGGCTCGCGGCGGTTCATGGATCTCGGCGCGCACCGGGAAATGGGCGAGTCGTTTGATCGCGGGGTGGTGCTTGCGTTTAGCATCTGGTGGGATGCCGGCGGCGGGATGAGGTGGTTGGACGGTGCGCCGGAAGCCGGGCCATGTAACGAGACAGAAGGGTTCCCGGAGAACGTTGTCAAGGTTGAGCCGAATCCGGTTGTGACGTTCAGCAATATCAAATGGGGCGAGCTTGGGTCAACGTTCAAGCCTCAGTGTAAGATCAAGCCCAGGAATGTGTAGGTTGTCTAGAGAATAGTAATCCGCTTTCATGTGTCGATTTTTGTCAGTCTGTTTTGATCCGCCGCCCTGTTACTATTCCTGTAAAGCATGACGTTTGATAAGGCATCGCGACTGTCCAAGGGAATGGAAAGATTGAGTTGTAGAAATGAGTAAGGTGAGAGAAAGCACAAGAAGGTTCCCGTCCAGAGAGGACTTCCCAACGCAGCCCCCACCAAACTGATATCTGAGTCAGCACACCAAGGAGCTTGGACGCGTCGCGTAAAGTGGTCGGTGGTTCCTGCCGCCGACGGTCAAGTTGCCCCGCGGTTCCAGCTCCGACAATGAACAAGCTGCGAACACCTCCACCTACTTACAGGTTCCCTCTCCGTCACTCTCGGGATGCCTTGCAACACTTCCAAGTCATTACGGACATACAACAGCTGACAAAATGGAGGCGGCAACTGAGCGCCACTTCTTTCACCATGGCGCTCCGAAACCTGGCGTAACCAAGACCGCACTCAGGGTAGGGTATCCCACAGTCCTACGATGCTGCAATGCACTCTGCGATCATTTGTGTAATACCGCTACATTATGGGAGCTTTTTCTGACTGGAATCTTCTGCAGGCCATCGAGAGAGAAAAGCTCGATTGTCAATGGTGCCAGATTCGAGCTTTCCCGAACCATAAGCAGTACCCAATCACCATCGTAAACGAGGTCGACGACGAAGTAATACCGCCGAACTTTCGGTTCCTACAGCACTCAAGGCTCGGTCACGGGGTACAGGCCGCAGAGGATAGTTTCCGAAGCGGATGCGAATGTGAAGACGAGGAAGAATGCCAGTACACGGGCTGTCTCTGCCTGCAGGAGCAGGAAGACGACTCAGATGACGAGGGTGAAGCGAGAAAAAAGGCATACATGTACCATATGCACGGCGTCAAGGCCGGACTGCTGCGATCAAAATTCCTGGGCTCTACGCGGCCCATTTACGAATGCCACGAAGGCTGCGCATGCGACGTGACCTGTCCTAACAGGGTGGTCGAGAGAGGTCGACAGGTCCCTCTTCAGATTTTCCGGACCGAGAAGACGGGCTGGGGTGAGTTGAGCTGAGAGGCTGCTGCTATGCTGGAGAGAAGCTTACTGTCTTACAATAGGTGTTCGATCGTTGCTCGACATTCGACGAGGACAGTTTGTTGATAATTATATTGGCGAGATCATTACACCACAGGAAGCCCAACGCCGACGGGATACCTCGAACATTGCGCAACAGAAGGACGTGTACCTTTTCGCGCTCGACAAGTTTACCGACGAAGACTCTCCCGATATGCGCCTACAAGGTCCCCCGCTCGAAATTGATGGCGAGTTTATGTCCGGCCCAACCCGCTTCATCAATCACTCTTGCGAGCCCAACTTGCGCATCTTTGCGCGCGTGGGAGATCACGCTGACAAGCACATTCACGATCTCGCCTTCTTTGCGCTTCGCGACATCCCTCGAGGAGAACAGCTCACGTTCGACTACGTTGATGGCGTGAGCGACGACGCTGCTGATGCGAAGGACAAAAGCAAGCAAGGCGACATGGTCCCGTGTCTTTGTGGTAGCAAGAATTGTCGCCAATTCCTGTGGTAGTCTTTCAGTAACAGTGACATCTGTCTGAACTCGATCACGTTTCTAGCTTCTGGTTCGTCGGAAGGTCGGATACAATTCGATGCCAGCCACGAAGTGCCACACACAGTCGGTAGTCGCGGGATCTGTGGAAGTCAAGGAGCCTCCAATGACGAAAGATGTGAACGTCATCGGCATCGGGCTTTTACAGACCTTCCTTCCAACTTCGCTGATAGGTACGGACGGAAGTTATGGTATCAAAGACTGGGCCCGGATTGGAAATTTTCGGGAGACAGCGGGTAAGGCAGACTGGGTCAGGTGCCGAAACGGCATGACACGGAGGCTCCGTGGGTTGATGAAGCCTCAAGCGTGAAGGAGCCCACATTTTGGATCTTCAGGGATGGCCGGTGCGCCCGGTTCGTCTGAAGAGGCGGACAACTCGGGACGCCAAGGCGGGGTGCCCTGGATCGGGAATATGAAGCATGGCCATACTGACGTCCAACCCGTGCACGGCGCACATGTTAATCGTCACGTCGTCGTCGAAGGGAGCATGACGCGATGAATGCATCTGAGCCTGGGACGCAAATTGAGGTGTCAGATCTGGTGTTGCGATGGAGACGCAGATCTTATGTGTTAGTGTGACTACTGCAGTAAGGTAACCTTCAATTTGGTCTGGAGTCAGGTAACGGGATCTCGGCAATGGCGTCTCAATTGGTGTAATACGAGACGGGCCCCGGTCGATATCCATTCTCGAAGCGCCAATTCGAGCACCGCTATGACCATGACGAATACTATTAGGAAAAGATGAAGTGATTAGTGAATTGCCTTTACGGATAGGGTCTCTGATCCGCGTGCGTAATCGAGATGTGCCGGTAGAGGCGCCTGCTATGATCCGATTTCATCGGTCTACCGTTGGCCACTGTCCGTGTTATCGATCAGGCGTTCAATCCTTATGGTGGCTCAGCAGAACCTTGGACTGATCCCCTCACAACCAACACAGATACAGCGACCGTCAATCGTAGAGCATAAGAGAGAGAAAAAGAAGGCCGGTGGAGGGGAGGAGTCTTGCGGCATGAAGCGAGTGGGCTGGGCTGAGGAATGCCGGGGAGGACCCTGTGTTGGGCCGACTTTTCGGATGGATCTCGCCAAGGCCCTTGTGACCAAGCCTGCAAGAGCTTACGGATACGCAGTACTCCGTACAGGAATTAAATAGCTGTGGACACTGGAAGGAATTTGTGTGTCTGTAAGAGAGACGCTTAGGGGAGAGAACCATATGGCTGGGCCGATCTACTGTCTCGATCCATTGTCTCTTAGTGTCTATCGAATATTTCTGAAAGAGGATAATCCACGTGCAAACGGGAGACTCGAAGGAGCAAAACATGTCTTGATTTGGATGCTGAACCCAGAGATATTCCACGGGTGCGTGCATTTCAGACATACCCAACCCTACGGATCCTAGGAGAAAAAAAGGCAAAAGGGACGAAAAGTCAAGGTCCGCTGCTTTCTTGCCTTATCTTTTCGCAAGCGAGGCGGACGGGAAGCGAAAAACAAGCACAATTTAGGCGTCTCACAGCAGCAGCCTACTGGACAAGCCTGGACTAGCACCACCCCTGCTGCCGAGATCCTCTTCCGGGGAACTGCAACCACTGATCATCTGCTGCATTTCCTTTTTTTTTTTTTTTTTACCTCAAAACGTACTATCCGTGAAGGACCACGGGCACCGGCACCGATAAGGTACGGAGAGACTTCACTCACCACCCTCACCTTGCCTTCACCATCTCACCTCTCACCACTCACCACTCTCCTCACCTGCTACCTCTCGCAGTAATCCTTCCTTTCGTCACCACTACACAGTAGACCCCAGGTGCCTCACCCACCCTCCCGAACACAGTCTTGGTCCCTCGCTTTCTCTCGTCACTTTTCATCTTTTTCTCTTCCGCCATCCTTCTGCCTCCTGCAACGTCTTTGAGGAGCTCCTCTCTGCTCTGCGCCTCTCACCACCCACCTTCTCACTGCTCTCGTTCCATTCGCGACGCCTTCCCCTCGAATACGTACCTTTCTTGACTTCAGCTACACCACTTCCCGTCGCTCTCCCCACGCTCCGTCCGGGACCAACACGACACACACACACCTTTTAATACACGACAGCCGCAGCTCGTCGACCAACCAGCGTCAGATCGTCACGTCAACGACACAAGGGTCTAGACCTTCCAACCGCCCTCGCTCGCTTGCTCTCCTCTTTCAACGTCGCCCCTGTCTTCACCACTCGAACTTCTTTCTCTACGGCAAAGCCACTAATTAATTCCCGCCAACCCTTTTGACGTCTTTGTTCAGTACAGCTAGCCAAAGCTTGTCTTGACTCGACTTTCATCTCGAGGTCAACTGTGACCTGATCATCACCAAAGCGCCGCAAATTACAACCTGGGCAATGGCACGAGACGCACCAGCTTGCTAGAATCAATCTCCCCCGCCAATACAGTACCGAACACCCCATCCTCCAAGTGAAGGCGTCGACAATATGGTAAATATTGACTTCCCCTCCCCCTCGTCTCTGTATCATACCGCCACCGGACACTACTCCGAAAGCCCAAGCGCTCTGTCTGCCAAACCTGCATATCTCGTCCGACCGCCTCCCGCATGTTCTCAGACTGATGATCCTTCTCTCATAGGGCTGCTGTCTCTCCCGTCCCCAGGGCTCTAACGCCCCCTACCCAGGTCCGACCAACACGGGCTCCGCGAGAGCTATCAACTCTGCGCCCGCCTCCGTTCATCGCGACGATGACTCCCCTGCCGAAACAACGCAAACCTCCTCTGGCCGCCGTCGGGGCCGCCACTCCAGTATGCCTCTCGACAAGCACATCAACAAGCCTCTGCGCCGCCACGTCTGGACTTCTAAGGGTCGCGCCTGGACCCGTGTCGCTATAGACCGCGAGCGAAGGGATTTCTTTGACACCCGCGTCACTGGCCGCCCAGAGGTCTGGCAGTCTCTGCGCGCAGCCCTCGAGATTATCTGGGACCCCGTGAGTCAGGGTGCCGCTGACGACGGCACCGATGGTCTTGCGACAGCGCAAGGCATCCTTAATGCGGCAGAGATCACTCTCCCCACCGGTGATCTTGCTCAGGGTGCCTACGATCAACTGGGCAACTACTATCCCCTGTCTGAGTGGCTCGTCGCCGATCCCACCAATTTGGTCGAGGACGATGCCACGATCGATGGCGCCGACGAAGCGCTCTCAACTAGAGACCTCAAGGACGATCTTGCGGGAGGAGAGGAGACTACAGAGGAACTGGACGAGGACGACAATGTCCGCCGGAGAGAAGAGAAGGGTAAGGCCGTTGTCGACGCCCGTGACCAGCTCTCTGTCCTAGCCCGCCTCAGCGAGACTGCGCGCGATGTCACTGTCAGCTTCGTCAAGAGCGATAGCGTCAGAACTGTTGCTCGTAAAATTCAGGAGCAGTCAGGAGTAAGTAACATATCTTGAGTCTCACCTCAGCCCACCCATCTTGAAGAAGACCACGTCTAACAAGCTCCTAGCTCGCCAGCACCAAGAAGATTCGCATCGCCTACATGGGCAAGATCCTTAAGGACAATCTCTCCCTCGCTGAGCAGGGCTGGGCAGAGGGTCATGTGGTCAACGCCCTCGTTTTCGATAGATAGCATCATCGAGAATCGCAGGCGGACAGATATGCGGCCATTTGGCTTAAGAATGCATGGATTCGCCGACTGACAACGTCGTCTCAAGACATACAACGCACTATGCACCCTTCTCCTCAGTAAAGAACGACAACCAACACAAAGCACATCGCCATGGCGTACACAACACGGCTGCAGGCATGGCGCCACCCCGATCACATTCGATTCGATTTGGTTGGGTACACACACCTCGGCATGAATTTCCTTTGGTCTGGCTTTCCTCAGTCTGGATAAATACCCCCTTTCATTACCGTGCGGGACTCTTTCTTCAAATTACCTTATAATCGATTTGGCGTTCAGGAGGATGGAAACCCACTGCCGCACAAAAGAAGTTGGTCAGCATTTCATTGCAGGCGTTCGTTTTTCATCATGCGCTTCACTCACAAATGTGTGTGGTCTCTTTCTCTTTTTAGTTATTAATAGCGGTCATTACGATCATCCAATAAGCGAACCTTTCCTCCAAGGTGTAGGGCAGCGATGAGTGGCTGTCACTGCGGAGAGCTACAATACCAACAATTACTCATGATCTGTCCAGCCTTCTTGTGTGTTGTAACAGCTGTTTCCTCGTGTGATGTAGGAGAGGGAAATAGAGACGATATTTACACTGGACTTTAACACCTCATCCACACGCTCACACATAATCTGCCAAATTTCTCGCATGATGATAAAGAGCATTTGTTGAACATCAAGAACATCTCATTTCTACCTACTCATGACGCCTGACCGGGCTGCACTTTTTACTCTAACCTCAAAGAGAAAAAAAGAAGAGAGGACAAGCCAAAACTGCTCTTTCTCCTCCCTCCTCATCATTCCCATTTCAACGCAACTCGACGCTGTCGGCAAGCCAACCGCCCACTTGTTCGCTTTTCCCCCGGCATACACCGTCGAGAACTCAACACTTGTCTTTCTTTCCCGGCTCTTCATTACACCTGTAGGCTTGGTGGGCCTCAGATAGCCAGGACGATACGCCGTAGTCTCCGCATATAGCCTTTCACCCCCTTTATCAGGTCTCTTATGCCGCTGAGCCAATCTTGTTGAGTCCCTTGAGGGATCCCAAGCTCAGGGCCAGACCCTGCGATCTGCTTCTTATTCTGACGAAGCCGTTAATCGGTCCGTCTTCGCCTTCCTTCTCGATACTCAAGTTGGCCAAAGCATCCTCGCCTACAAAACGTGTTAGCTTACAAGTACTGTACATGTCAATGAAATAAGGGAAGAAAACTCACCGAATACACTGCGAGCGTACAGGTTGGCACTCAGGAACTGGCAGTCGCCCTTCATGCTGGCTTCGGGGGTCAAGCAGTTCATGTTGGTCGCCGCCATCAGCTGCTCGAGGAAATCGCGCAGAGACTTGGCCTTGGAGTTGATGTTGACCTTATTCTCCCACTCAAACTCGGTCCACATTGTGCGGAACTGTGTCTCGGTACATGTTGCCGGCTGGATGTAGTCCATAATGTCCACGTGAAGGTCGTTGAGGATGACCACGTTCGTATCCGTCGAGTGAGCACCGTCGTAGACGACATTGCCAAAGATGACGCCAGTGTCCGTAGAGGACACCTTGATTGTGCACTGCACGTTGTGGAAGTCGTGAGGGCCCAAGTTTTGTGTCGTCGGCCGCTCGACAACCTTCAGGTCACCGAGAGTGGCAAACTCGACGGAGAGGTTCTGAAGCGTCTCCATCGTCTGGTTGACCAAAAGGACGTCCAGAACGATATCGAACTGGTGCACCTTGACATAGGCCTCGGCGTACACAGGGTCGGAGAAACCGGTGAGCTGCACCACACGGCTAAGCTTAGAAGAAAGATCCTCAGCGGTGGCCTCTCCACCTGTTGCGCGCTCCAGGTCGACCTCGATCTCGTCAAGGCCATCACTGGCATTCTTCTTGGAAAGCTGACGGATCTGAACGACGTCGTCGACCTGGATCGCCGTCTTGGCCTTCTCTACAGCCTCCTTGGCGGCCTTCTTCTTCTCCTCAGCCTGGACCATCGCTCTGAACGCCTTGCGGGTGTCGTCGAGATAGACAGTCTCGAGCTCCTTGTTCTGGGCGAACTCGGCGAGCGAGCGAACGCAAGACATGATGCGGTCAACCGAGTCCTCGTCAATGGGAGCCTTGACGAATTGCGACTGGCCGACGCGGATGATGGAGATCATGATAAGCATGGCCTCACCGCGGAGAGCGTTGGTACGCGCTGACTCGGCAGAGATCTCGGCGTGGCGCATGACCAACTTGACGAGGGTGGCAGAGAGAACGGTTGCGAGGTAGTAGTCGCCATCGAGAATCAGCTGGCGCAGAGGTGGCTTCTGGGCAGCCTTGACAGCCTCCAACTTGGCGGCAACAGCAGACTGGCTGGTCAGGGCGGTCTCGGTAGCGTAGGTTCCGTCGGCAAGAACCTTGCGCGAGCCGGTAGGCGCAGCGGGCTTCGAGTGACCGTTGACCTGCTCCTTGTTCTCCTCCTCGCTGTCGCCGTCCAGGAGTCGTTGTTCCGAAGCGAGAATCGGGATCTCGCCGAGGCTGGCACGGATGCTCTTCCATGCATCCCGAATGTCGCGCTCCTCCAGGGAGTATTCTCCAATGATCCACATGATACCTCTGTACACCTTTCCGGCACGCACCTCGCTGAGAGTAGCAACCAGCCTCTGAACGATCGGCTTGCGCAGCTTGGGGAACTTTTCCACGACCTCCTTAACGAAGTTGATGACATCAACGGCTGAGGTGTTATTGAAGTCGGCGATGAAGTCCATGAGCAGATCAACGACGCTAGCGGCAACCTCTGAGAACTTGATGGCGCACTGGTGGATGGTATGGATAAGGAGCTGGCGGTACTCGGTGTTCTTTTCGTACTCCTGGTCGACAGTCTTGGAGAGCTCCTTCTTAAGCAGCAGGACCACCTCCTCGACGTTCTTGCTTGACACCATCTCAAGAGCGATATCCAGGGCCTTGCGTCTGACATCGATATCGGGGCTGGAAAGAACGCGGAGGATCTCCATAACCAAGTCGTCCAAGATACCCTCGTTCTTTTTCCGCAGCTGATCAACCCGGTCAAGCACAATGAGCTTGACATTGTTATCGGCCTCCTTGATGCTGAGCTCAATGAACTTGGCGGCCGCGGCCTTGACAGCGACAGGGTTGTTTGTGAGGGCGGTTAATGAGGAAGCGGCTTCGTATACGACGGTCGAGGTGTTGGCTTCGAGGAGGTCGAAAATAAGTCTGAGATACCGTGCCTAATCAATGTCAGATGTGCGCCAAGGCAAGTTCCTTTCTCGGTTCGCGTTACCTTGTTCTGGGAGTTCTGAACGGCATCCTTGCGGATGAACTCAAGCTCAACAAGCTGCAGCAGCTCTTCTGCGTTGGGGATACCCTCGAACACCGTGCTCAAGTAGAGCAGTGCCTTCTCGTGGTCGATGGAAGCGAGCGCAGCGAAAGCGTTGCGCTTGCATGTGGGATCGTTTTCGGATTCGAGGAATGTGGCAATGAGCTCTGAGGCATCGGGAATCAGGCTGGCAGAGTGTGTGTAGATGGAGGAAACTGCAAAGACGGCGTTCTTGCGCACGTAGACGTGGCGGTGCTCGAGACATTGTCTGGCGGAAGAGAGGAGAGGCTCAATGAGCTCGGCTTCTCTAAGCTTGCACAAGAAGCGAAGAGTGTTTCCCCGGATGTACTCGTTGGGGTGCTGCAAATCGTTTCTGATACCGTTACTGAGGCCAGAGTGTCAGCAGGGGTGCAGCTGCGAAGGGAATGAACGAGCCAGCCACGAACCAGACCAAGATCATTTCCTGCTTCAGCTTGCCATTGGAGTCGAGCTTGGGGCAAATCTCGTAGTAAAAGTACAACAGCTTCTTCAGAGCCTTGTGCTTCGAGGGCATGACGAATCGGATGATGTGCATGAGCAAGTTGGGCATGGGATCGCCATTGAGCAT